TTTCTCCCTCTCTCCCTCCCTTTCTTTAAAAGCTCCTTTAATTTGTCAGCTCCAAATTGCTTTGCATTTAAAGCTCCTGTTCATCTCCTCAAAAGCAATAGGAAAAGTTGATACAAACAACCCATAGCAGTCCAGCTGACCCAACAACAAAGCAGTTTCTTTCATATGTTGGTAACAGTAACTGCAGAAAAAGAGAAAGAGAGAGAAGGTTGGTTCATTGCTGCCAGTGACAGGAGCTGATTATGTGCTCCACTAATCAACAGCTCAGAATGAACCAGCAGGGTTACGGCACACACACACACACACACACACACACATTGCAAATGATCATTCACATTTTTATGCTATCATGCACTGAAACAATGCATTTGTTCTATATAATAATGTGCATAATTGGTTGTCTTTTTTCCCTAACAGCCCTTTAAAAGAATGTGGCTGCTTCTGCCCTTTTTAAAAGAACAGTTCTGCTGTTTTGTCCTTTCATTATTTTATAGTACATGATGAAATGTGGCATATTTGTCTCTTAACTATTAAAATGGAAACCATCGGTCATTTAAGAACATATCCTTGTCTACCTGTCTCTTTATTTTACTGTCTCTCACTTACTACTTCTCTGTCTTAAGGGCATTTTATACAGTGCATGGTAGGCAGTAACATTTTTTGTTTGTTTGTTTTCTTGTTTTCCATACACGTGAGAGATGATGTTGAATGTAAAATGATGCCCACTACTGATCAGTGCTAGCAAACAAAAGCATGGTGCATTTATGAATGAGGCAAATACTCTAAATATTATTTTCCAGGTTGCATGTAAGTGATGGCTAATAAAACAGAACATTGCAACTAAATTGCTCTCATTATAATGAAGTGGTCTACACTTAATTTCTTCCAGCTGTCATTGTTTTTGACAATCTCTCCAGTCATTTTTTGTATAAATTGAAAAACAAAAAAAATTGTTTTAGTTTTAAAAAAGTAGAATATTTTTAAATGGATTCAGATAAATTATTTTTACATGAATTTGTTACATAAATTATCATAAAAAAATTCAGCTTGTGATCATCTTATTGTGTTTATGCAGTTGTAGCAATACAAAAATTTATATAATTATAAAATAAATAATGCAACCATTATTCAATCATTAGTCTAACATTTATGTTTATACAGTAGCTGATTGGTTTGTGTTAGTGACAATTTGTCCATAAAGTGTGTTATTTTATTCCATAAAATAGGCTAAGCACAAATAAAAAATCTGCTTAATAAATGAGATTGGTGAGCAGACTGGATATTAACTATTTTTTAGGATTTATATAGCTCAGGAAAATCGTTGTTGAAGTTGTTGTTGCTGTTTTTTGACAACAAAAAGGTCTTATTTTGAATGAAAGCTATGGAAAGATTTTTTTTTAAACCTTAAATTTTTTTTTTATCTTTCCACATGCACAACAAATCAGGATTTTTGAGCACAAGCACAGCAACCAGTGTTGCTTCAGTTCCGCCTCCGTTCTGCCGCCTCTGTCCCACTGAAAATGAACTAGAAACCCTTTGTAACAGTGTACCGTGTAAAATGGCCTTACAAATCCTTCCCTTTTCCTCTTCTTTGGTGCGTGTCTTAATACCCTGCTTTTGCTGACCATTGCAACATGTTTTCTAATCTAACCCCACCCTTGCACACACACAAAGACACGCGCACAACACCTCTGTCACTTCCTATCTGCCAGATTGGCCAGTAGATCAATAATAAAGTAGCCAAGATATTCAGGCTTTTGAATATATCAGTGGACAGCCGAAGGTCACGCTGTAGGGTTTAGTCACATGACTCGATCTTGTGCTGTCTAGCCTATTACTTCACACAATGTCACAGATGTCACTCTCTCGCACGCAGCAGAGGAGCCTTGAAGGGAAGAGAGAGAATCAAGACAGTTGGAGAGGTGGTTGAGAGAGATGCTGTGAAGGAGTGTGGTGACAGCAGAAAACGGCGAGAAAGAGAGAGACGAGAAAGAAACAAGCAAGGTTGAGAACAAATCTAAATGTGTGAATGCATTATTGATGCAGTGAGTCTCTGAGTTTCACTCGCTCCGTCTCGGTGAGGACCGAGGAATTGGGGTTACAGCTGTCGGGAGCTCCCTCTGCTGAGATGCCGTCTAACTCCATCACATCACAGCACTGAAGTGAACATTACCATTTGAACCCTGTGCCTGTTACACTGAGTGCTGTACGTAAAACCAACAGGGATTTAGTGTCTTTTGAATTAAAGGGTCCAAACTAAACAAACAACAGTCGAACGCTAAAGATCCTTTGAATTATATTTCAGTGTCTTTAGTTAGAGATTATACCAGGCCAGGAATTTTCTGTTTACTGCTTGCAACAAAGAATAACAAGAGCGAAGAGAGCTTTCTAGTTAATTACAATGCCTTCAGAAAGTGTTTAACTCCTTGAATTTTATTTCTGCTAAACCTCCCATAAAACATCCCTTCCATAAACAATCCATACATTTTCATGTAATCCTTGAGTAAAAGGTAAACATGTTTGACTTACTGTCCATAACTTAAGCACAGGACTCAACTCAAGCTCTAAACACCCCCTTGAATTATTAATTCATAATAATTATTTTATTTTATTTTATTATTTTATTATTATTATTTATTGTATTATTGAACCTATATTTGAATTTGTTCGAGACAACTGCATTATTTGGTAGAAGAATAGATTTTTTTGATTTATTACTATATTAACTATATACATATACATACACACACACCCTTTTATTAGTGTAAAATCAATATAATGCATGACTTCCCATGGCTTGTTGCTTTAATATGCTTTGATGTGAAATGTCACACACTGCATGAATTAATGTTCAACACATGCCCATAACATGGCATTTACACCAGAGTTACAGCTGGTAAATGAAGAACTGAGGTAAATAAACTAATGATGAACCTCATGTACAGACACCCAACCTCCATGCTTTGTTTGCCATCTATTATTAAGACTAGGCTTTTGATGAAAGAGCCTTTTACCTCCAAACAGAACAGAAGCGTGCAAAATGAATGAGAAAATTTAGCTTTACCAGCTTGTTTGTACTTGGATCTACCAGGCAATTCCTGACCAGCATTTCAGTTGTGTTTGTAGATGTCTCCTGTAAATTATTTAGAATGGCTTATTTTTTAGCTACATGCATGAAATGTTTGAGAACCATAGAGAGATTATCATTTTGCATAAATCGAGAGCAGAGGTTGCCTGTTTCCAAAAAATTATGGCACACCCTTCCACAACTACTCTCCTCCGAGCCAGCCTGGAGAACAATGCGATCATGAAACAGGTCATTAGGTCACTGTAGTCCTCCCAATGTCCCATCAAAGTTCAGTCTGGCATTTTTAGCTTCAGAGAAACCCATATGCAGACTTTTGAAGACCAAAGGGGTTATGATCAATAATTTAAACAAAAGCTTTTAGTCGAACACAATGCAGCAGAGAATTCTGATCTGTAAATCTCCAAAGACACACTTCTTCTATTCCAGGGGCCGCACTTGCACAAATGCACACACAGAAGGTTCCTGTATTTGCTGAGCCATGCTTAATTAGAACACATCCTCTGGAGAGCAGGGCAGAAGATAGACAAGGCTCTGGGGACAAGGACTCAACTCTGCCCCATGTGACAGGGTTTCCCACTCCAGACTGTCGCCATGGCAAGGGTTGCCTTGGTGCTGTCGCCCGTGGATTCTGTGTGGACAGGAGCAGGAGAGTGACATAGACAGGAAGTGATGGCTTTGGATGGGGAGGCTTCAGATGTCATAACACACAAACAGACAGTGACACGCTTGCACACCCACATGCATGCAACAGAGTTATCGGGGGTGGAGAGATTATTTCCTATTCCAGCACATCAGATTTTTCCTCTCCATAGGAGTTCTCCATCTTCCCCATGGGTCCTCGTGGGTGTGATATAGTGTATGCTTTACAACAGGATTTATAGCCATATATTTATGTATGAGGGGCTGTTTGAGCAGTGCAAAAATTGGTTACAGATGGAATATATTAGATTTTTTACTGATGCTGTGTGTGGGTTGCAGAAGACCAACAAATATATAAAGATGAACATTTTGACATACATCAGTTGGTAAAAATGAAAAGTATGAATTAAATGTATTTTCTTTGTAACAGATATTAAATGAACTTTTCCTTTAATCACTTAGTACTTTTTAGTACTTCATCTTAAACTTATTTCAATTAGTTGCCAAGGCAACATTTCTAATTTTCATCAAATGTAAAATTGATATTTTATTTTATTTAAGCTTTATCTCGGTGAATGAAAAAGATTTGTAATAATTTTAATCACTTAAATGAAAAGGTAGATGGTCACTCACATCTTGAAAGGAGAAATGCAACTGTTCCTCATTACTTTTTTATTTCACAAATGAACCAAGGATCAGTATTATTTTAGTATTATAAACAGTAAAAGTAAAATACATACTAATAGTAATTATAAAAAGTATTTATTAATATTTTTGTTAGCTTTTAATTTTTATATCTGTTTTCATTTTTAACAATTTTATGTGCTTTTGTCATTTTTGTTAGTTTATTTTATTTAGGTTTAATTTATTTTTATTTGAGTTTTAGTTTTAGTAATTTTGATACATTAACTTAAATTTAGTTTAGTCAGTTGCCAAGGCAATATTTCTCATTATCGTTTTAAGAAAAAGCTTTAATCAAATGTAATATTCATTTTTTTATTTTATGTCAGCTTTATTCCAATTAATGAAAATTATTTTTATTCGTTTTAATCACTCACTTTAATCAGTAATAAGGAACAGTTGTATTTCTGCTTTCAGGATATGTGTGGCCATTTGCCTTTTCGAAGTCTGACCCCTGGTGACCCCAATTATGTCACATATGGGGTGCAGGGAAGTTGTAACGGGTCACACTTGATTAGCTTTGGAGATGTATAGGTTGGTATTAGTGTGTGGACTGATGGTAAACGATATTACTTTGGGTGTGTGTGTGCAGTTGGATAATCTGGACGAGCAAGCAGCTCAGATCAGGAGGGAACTGGATGGGCGTCTGCAGATGGCTGATCAGATTGCCCGGGTAAGTCTCATCATTTGGTCACTTACACGTGGACAGAGATGCTCAGGACGTGTTGTAAACAGAGCTGGCATCCATTCCATTGCATCTCAGCCAATTCAGTTTATGCACCCACAGTCACTTTATAATTCCAACCAAATGACTAGAATTTTGCCAAGTAGGACTTGTTCCATAGTGAATATCTTTTGGGTCATCAGGTTGACATATTTAATCAAGTTCAGTTCAGCTTTCTTTCATACAGGCTTACAAAATACTAGTTTTTAATAGTGTTAACATCAGTGATCTTTTTAAATTGTTTATTGTAATTATTAAAAATATTAGAATTTCTTCTTTCTTTTTCAAAAAATTCAGGCTGGCAAATTCCCCAAGTTTGTGTCGAAGGAGATGGAGGCTATGTATATCGAAGAACTGAAGAGCTCAGTCAACCAGCTGATGGCTAACCTGGAGAGCATGCCAGTTTCAAAGGGAGGAGAGTTCAAACTGCAGAAGCTAAAGAGGGGACACAACACCTCCATCATTGATATGGGACAGGAAGATGAAAACCAGCTGTCCAAGTCTGATGTTGTGCTGTCTTTCACACTTGAGGTAAGAACTGTTCTAGCCTTCAGGCAGTGTAGCTTAGTTTTGTGCTCAAGGCCAGGGCTCACATAGTATGCCGTCTCATCGGGCCCAGGGGAGAGAGAGTGACTTTAATTTGTGGCCCTACTCAAGGCTTCTGTAACCCCACCCCCGGGTCCTACTTGCACCCGAGTGGGACTCGAACCCGGGTCGCAGGCATGGGAGGCAGGCGCACTAACAAGGAGGCTAAAGACTGCAGCCTCTAGCATCAGTTGCTAGAGTGCCTCTTGAGATCAGGGAGTGAGGTTTACCTGCATAGCACCTACTAGCTGGCCTCCTTTACACTTCCATGCATTTGACTTTCTTTGGTGAAGGTTTGTGACATCTTGGTCTTACTGAGACATTCTTGATGTTTTGTACACAATTAACTATTAAGTGTAAAACATAACCAAACTTGTGAGACAATGCCTGATGCAAAAAGAATGATAGGAGGAATAGTACACCAAAAAAATTTAAATGTGCTGAAAATTTACTCACCCTCAGGCCATTTAAGATGTAGACAAGTTTGTTTGTTTTTTAATCTGAACAGATTTTGAGAAATTTAGCATTACATCACTTGCTCTCCAATTTGATGTAATGCTAAATTTCTCTAAATCTGTTTTGGTGAAGAAACAAAATCTTCTACATTCTGGATGGTCTGAGGGTGAGTACATTTTCATTTTTGGATGAGCTATTGCTTTAAGCATTTTTGGTGCTATTTCCATAAAAATGACAGACTTTGCCAAGTATTTTTAGGTTTTAGCAGTAGTTAGCAGTATCCTTTGAACTGCTGAAATGTGCTGATTTGAACAAAACTTGGTAAAAATAGTCTGTAGTATGTTACATAGTTTTCATCGGAACGGATTTGGAGGGTGCCGTCAGAATGAGAGTGCAAACAGCTGATAAAAACATCATAATAATCTACACATAATCCACATGACTCCAGTCCATCAATTAATGGATTTATAAAAAAAAAAACACACAGCTTTTCATTTCACAAGATGTTAACTGATGGACTGGAGTCATGTGGATTATTTGTAGATTATTATAATGTTTTTATCAGCTGTTTGCACTCTCATTCTGACGGCACCCATTCACTGCAGAGGATCCATTGGTGAGCAAGTGATGTAATGCTAAATTTCTCTAAATCTGTTTTGGTGAAGAAACAAAATCTTCTACATTCTGGATGGTCTGAGGGTGAGTACATTTTCATTTTTGGATGAGCCATTGCTTTAAGCATTTTTGGTGCTAGTTCCATAAAAATGACAGACTTTGCCAAGTATTTTTAGGTTTTAGCAGTAGTTAGCAGTATCCTTTTGAACTGCTGAAATGTGCTGATTTGAACAAAACTTGGTAAAAATAGTCTGTAGTATGTTACATAGTTGCAAAATTTATATTATCCATTAATAAAAACATTCTATTGCTAATGATAAGTTACATTTTAGTTATAAGCTCTGTAGATTTCCTATGGATTTGTAAATTTTCCCTAAAATGTGATTATATAAAATTATATGTTACGACCATACAAAATACAATCTTTCACATTCTCAGAAACCGTTGCATTCATAATATGGAACAGTTTTCTAATGACAGTGCAGTTTCAGGTGCTGTGTCCTCCAGCTAGAACTCTTAGCTCCCGGCGCTTATTTATACTATAGTCGCACCGGTAGTGACGTCATGGCTGTCGCCGGCCAACAAGTTGGTGTTTTTTCAATGTATGCTTCAGACACGGGTCACGACGAGGCGTTCCCCATAGCGACCCTTAGAGGACGCAGTGTCTCGTTCCCTACTCAGGGAACCATGGTTACATAAGTAACCTGAGACGTTTTGAGTTGATTTATTGAAACTGATTCATTTGAACTGAAGTAAATCAAACGTACCAACCATTTTTTGCTACTGAAGTTCAAATCAAAGATGCTATTAAAACATTCAAGTCAAGACACCTTTATTTTTATAATGCTTTATGCAGTAGAGATTGTTTCAAAGCAACATTACACTATTAAACTGGAAAATAACAGAATCAATTATGCAAATCCAAATTCTGCTATAAAGCAGCTGTAGCAAGACGATAATGTCATTATTCAACTCCAGTCGGTTCAGTGTTGGTTCAGTTCAGTTCAATAACTGTATAAAGTTTATTCATTAAAACAAGTTCAATTCAGCGATAAGCAGCTCTACTGAAGACAGTAGTGTCGCTATACAACTCAAATCAGTTCAGTGTTGATTCAGTTCAATTTAATAACAGTGTTGATGTTGCAAACTTCACAATCAACATATCACACGTTCACAATATTGTTTCTTTTTGCGTCACCAGCAAATTTGCAATTTTTTCATGAATATTTCGCGCGCGGCTCTACTTCTTTCCCATATCAAAGCTCCCCTGCTCCTCTTTATTCTCTATCCATGATTCTATTCCAATCTTTTCTTCTTTTTGTGACTTAAATTTTGCTTCCCGCTCCCTCTCTTTTCTTCTTTCAACTGTAAAGCACTTAGCTCTTATAAAAGCCTTATGGTTATGAGTCATAGAACTCAGTCTATATTCATGTATTCATGCTGTCACTGGCGGCTGGAAACAGAGAATTGGCTCATTTTGGCAAAGCATAACAGCGCTAATGGACACACAGGAATGTATCACATCAAACAGACATGCTGAAGGAGAGAGATTAAGAGGAGGAGATTGCAAAAGAGACAGCAGAATCGACGAGAAAAAGAAATTTGACATTCATGTACTTAGAAAATGTTATCCAGTCAAGCTGTTCAAGAATAAACTTACCTTGCGCTGTCCCAAAGGCACCTTCACACATACACACACAGTTCAGCCATGCATGGCCTTGTGCAATGTCAGCAACCTCGCTGACACTCGCCGTTAGCACTGTTAGAATGCTAACCCATCCGTATCCATGGAAACCATACATACACTCAACCAGAAAATAAACATCTTTCATTCATTAACATAAGACTTCACTAATATTTGCGATTTATCAGTGCAAAAACCTGATTCTTATTCACTAACCATGTCAACCAGGTGCTAAATTCAGTAAAATAGCGCTCCAGTGTATTTAAATTAAGCCTTTGTAATTATTTTCAACGCTAAAGTCTCTTTTCTTTATACAGTAAATGATCTATTATATAAATTATAGATTGCGCCTCGTTCACAACATTCACAATTGCGCTGTTACTGTCTGCAGAAAGTAAAACTGCATCATTCAGTAAATCTATTGCAACGACAACACAGACAGTGTGAAAATCATCAGCGGGTGCAAGTCATTCTTCGTGAATTCCTCCCTTTGTGTTTTAAAATATTTTATATCCCTTGTAGGCCCTTAGAAAAATATAGTGGCAAACATTTGGCAAACAAATTTTCCTCAAGCTCATATTTTCACATGCAAATTACCACATATTAATCACACTTTTGTTGCAAATAAAACAGTTTTTGCTAATTCTTTGCTCAACCGCCCAGCTGTTATGATGTTTATCGCCCCCTGGTGTTCATTAAACAGATTGACGATTGTGCTCACCCATGGCTCAATCTGCATTTGTCAATTCTCCATGTGATAAATCACGCTTCCCACCACACACATAGCAGATTTTTCCCCCTCTTGCACTAGCTTCCCTTTTTGCCCTCTTTTCCTTTCCATCTCTTTTTCACTCTCCCCCTTTTTCTTTCTGTCTCATTTGACTGCTGCCTCTGAAACATGCAGCCTGTTTCCACGGCAGCAGATTATGTCACATGTTTCGTTTTACTAGGCCAACTCTACCACTCACCCTGTGTGTGTGCAGCAGACAGTGTATCTGTGTTTTCCTAGGTGTACTTTTCTATACTGTTGCATCATATTGTTCATTTATTATTTATAATATCAATACTGATTATTTAAAGCACGTCTTTGAGTTATAGTCTTCTCTCATTCTCGCTGAGCCCCGCTACGGTAGGATCTCTTATACATAAGTTGAAGCCAGCAAAGCTGCACAGTTATTATATTTCTCCCTTTATGGAGGCTTTACACTACATATGGATTAGTGGCCTTAAAGAGGAGAAAAGCGTAGAGGGACTGTAGGCTACCGCGGGTGTTTTCTTCAAGAAATTAAAGGAGGCAGTGAATTAGTAAAAAATTTGGATGAAAAAGTAATAAATAGTACATAAAGCTAAAAAAAAGTCTTAGATAGAGGAACTGTCTCTTTTTCAAGCGTAGCATGAATTTGAACACTGTAAATTGGAAAAATTTGGGAAAATTGTATTAAGTTAAGCTAGAAGTAAAGAAAGCAAACTCTTTCTGAGTCAATTCTGGAGTAAATATAAATTTAAAAAATGGCTGAAAATGTATTCACCCTCAGGCTATCCAAGATGTAGATACATTTATTCATCAGAACAGATTTGGAGAAATTAAGCATTGCATCACTTGCTCATCAATGGATCTTCTGCAGTGAATGGGTGCTGTCAGAATGAGAGTTCAAACAGCTAATAAAAACATCACAATAATCCACAAGTAATCCACACGACTCCAGTGCATCAATTAATGTCTTGTGAAAAGAAAATCTCTGTTTGTAAGAAACAAATCCATCATTAAAGCTTTTTTACACAAAAAAAACAAATGCAATTTTCCACAGGTCTGCCACATGCGACTGGACTGTGATAATGAATGGGTACAGAAAGAGTAAATACTGGTGGACTGTGAATGTGCACTCTCAAAATCTTCTTTAGGTTTTTAGTTTATGTATTTATTTTCCAAATGTCAGACTTGTCTGTTGTGTCAGAGAATCTCGTACCAGTAATCAACAGAGAATATCCTCGGCTGAAAGCTTTTATGTACAAAACATCAGACGATACACTTTACCCACTGGTCTGTCTCTCATGCACTTGACATTCAGTATTAGATTTTTTTTGACCTTATCAAATGATTTGTTAGCGAACGATTTCATCAGCCCTGCTGTGTAGCCGAATAGGACTGCGGAGATCGTTTTCCTCGCTGATCAAAGTAATACAATGAAAACAAGGGTTGCGAGATGTCCCTGTGTGCAGTGGTTATGCAGTGGTAAAGTAATAAAGAGCGGCCGAGTGTCAAGGAGATCTATGATACCTGGAGAACGCCATATGTTAGCATTCCCATGCATCTTAAAGGGAGTTATTCAGCTGGTGCAAGAGCCCCTTGAAGTAACGCCTTGGTGGTTGTACTGTTTGTGTGTGAGAAGGATGGAAATGAGTGTAGAAATTAAATAGAAGCCTTGTGTTTATGTGTGTTCTCAGTTGGGGAACCCAAGGAGACTTCACCACCACACACCCTCTGCCAGCGGTCAAAGTGAAGCTCTTCACAGAGAGCACAGGGGTCTTGGCCCTGGAGGACAAGGAGCTGGGCCGGGTAACTCTCGATCTTTCTTTTCTTTCTTGTGCCTTTGGACATCTGTCGTTCTGTTTGTTTTTTGGGGGATTATTTGAGGTTGTTATGGTGTTGTAGAAGTGATGTCTTACTTTCTAATTCTCCTTTTGCCTCATTCTTCTGCTGATTGATGCCTGTGGCTAAAAAACAAAACTCCAGTCTTGAAAATCCCTGTAAAGAAACAAGAAGCACGGCTTTTAAGTCAAATCCCTGATATGTTTCAGTGCATATTTGAATAAACAGTGAATATTTGTTTTTCTTTTAGAGGTTATTTTCCCAAAGAACAAAACAGGCTTCCTTTTTCTGGATGTTAATTTGTTATAATAAATAATTGATGAAATGATAAATAATTTTGGCTGATTATACCTGTTTATTAATTAGGCTATGATAAGTACAATACTGTTAAACACAGGCATCATATCATATCATTTTGCCATACGGAATCACAAATGTCCACATTTTTTCAGATAATTTTATACAAAATGCAAATGTAAAATTTGAATCTAATTGTTATATAATATACTGAGTAAATTATAGTGTTCTCTGTTATAGCGTGGGAAATGGTATGCTCTTCTACCATGATCCATAAAATTCATAATAAAAATAAAAAGAGACGTACAATACAGTTCACAAGGTTGGTGTCAGAAGGATTTAAAAGAATAATACTGATATTCAGCAAGTATGCATTAAATTGATCAAGTGTGACAGTAAATACATTTATAATGTTGCTAAATATTTCTGTTTCAAATAAATGATGTTCTTTTAAACATTCTATTCATAAAATAATCTTGTATCATGGTTTCCACAAAAAATATTAAGTTGCACAACTATTTTCAACTCTGATAATTATAAGAATGTTTCAGCAGCATATTAGAAACAGCATACTAGAATGATTTCTGATGAATCATGTGATACTGAAGACTGGAGTAATAGCTACTGAAAATTCATCTTTGATCAAATAAATGCAGCCCTGGTGATCATTAGAAACTTCTTTCAAAAACATTTAAAAATCGTACAGACCACAACAGTAGTGTGTGTGTGTGTATATATAGTACTGAAGATACAAATGACCTTAAGAATTTACCTATAAAATATTTGATAATTAATATCATCTAATGTTTCTCAAAATACACCCAATGTTGTATATATGATATCATGGATAATTCATACAGAAAAACCTAAAGCAATTTCATTTCATTTTAAATATAAATTTTTTAATACAAATTTGAATTGCAATTCTCCATCTCATTTGCAATCCTAATTAAAATTCATTAAATTGGAATCTAAAAAACATTGTATATTCAAGGACTCTGAGGTCCTCTAATGATGACATTGTTAACATGCTTTTTGACCTTGACGGATGCCGGATTTGCACAGGGTTTAAAAAATGTGTCTGTGTCTCCATCAAGACTAAAGTAGACAGGCATCTCTAAGCCTTTAACTCTAGCTAAGAAATAGATTAGGCCAACTTATCAGAGAGTGAAAAGAGAGAATAAAAAACCACAGGAGAGAATACGAGAGAAACTGGCTCTTCTTTGATAAGGTGCCAAGAGAAGAGCTGTCCATTCTAACTCTCAGTACACAGCCGTATGAGACAAAATTAGTTGAATGTTGAGAATATCTCTGAAAACGCTGACTGGTAATATGTCATTATCAGCTCGCACCCAGACTCAGGGATATTTTCCCACACCCACACAACCTGTTTATCCGTTTACTGAATGCTTCATGTGTGAAAATGTCTAAGGTAGACACTGGCTATAGGATTACATCTTAAAGAGATAATTCACCAAAAATGAAAGTTCTGTCATTCTGGCCTGAAAGAAGGTCGTACGGGTTTGGAACAATAACATTTGAATGAGTAAATAATCACAGAAGTTTAATTTTTGGATGTGCTGTCCCTTTTAATGGTGATAGTCTAGGGTTGTGATTGAATTGTGATCAGATGGACTAATAACCATGATTCTCTCATGTTGAATGATTAGGTGGTTCTTCACCCAACTCCAAACAGCCCAAAGCAGGCAGAGCTTCACAAGATGACTGTGACCAAGGCCTGCCCTGATCAAGATCTGAAGATCAAACTTGCTGTACGCATGGACAAACCTCAGAACATGAAGGCTTGTGGGTAAGGGATTTGTGGGTACAGAATACTCCTCTGTAAAAGTCTTCAGTTCATATGGAGATTGCATTCCAAAGCAGTATCATCCAGACATAACATCTTTTATTTCCTGATATAATGAAACACTATGTACATTACTGTGCTCTACCATTTGGAGTCAGTAAGATTTTTTTTTAAATGCTTTTGAAAGTCTCTTATGCTTACCAAGGCTGCATTTATTTGATAAAAATACAGTAAAAACAATAACATATTGGGAAATATTGTAAAAAATATTGTGAAATGTTACTACAATTTAAAATAATTGTTTGCTATTTTAATGTATTTTAAGATTAAGTCTTTATTTTTATTCCAGTCTTTAGTATAACATGATCCTTCAGAAATCAATCAAAATGCTGATTTGGTGCTCAAGAAACATTTCTTATTATTATCAGTATTGAAAACAGTATTGCTGTTGTGGAAACCATGATATATTTTTTCATGATTATTTTATTAATAGAAAGTTCAAAAGAACATAATTTATTTAAAATAAAAATCTTTAGGTTTGTAACATTATAAATGTCTTTACTGTCACTTTTGAAAAATGTAATGCATCCTTGCTGAATAAAAGTGTTAAAAACATATTTAAAAAAACTTACTGAACCCAAACATTTGAACGGTAGTGTATGAGAGTATTTAAATGAATAAATTAAAATACTGAGGAAACCTGTGATTATTCATTTAGGTATTTATGGGCTGTTGGCAAAAATGTTTGGAAACGCTGGAAGAAGCGCTTCTTTGTCTTGGTTCAGGTATATTTTTATATATTTAAATTGAGTGAGTGAAGAATATGTTGAATGTAACAAAGTTGGTTTCGGCTTCAATTTGAAATGTCTTTTGATCATCAGTGCCTTAATGAACCATATACAATTTTAAGTAGTGCATGTGACACAGATATAACCCAGATAATCTAATGGGCTGCATATGGCATATTAATTTGTTTCTCTTTCTTCTATAGGTAAGTCAGTATACCTTTGCCGTGTGCAGCTATCGAGAGAAGAAGTCAGAACCACAGGAGCTGCTGCAGTTAGATGGCTATACTGTGGACTACACTGACCCACAGCCAGGTTATACTCCCACAGTCACAGATTACTCTTATGTATCAGACTGTCATGAAACTATTCTCACTTTCTGGTTGTCAGACATTAGTGGAACATGTCCATAGTTAATGTAATAAACTGCATCTTTGGTTTTTTGTTTGTAATGCAGCAAAAATGCATCTTATCCACCTTGCTGAATTTACTTGAAGTTGTGACTTTTTTTTTTTCTGTGTGTACAGGTCTGGATGGAGGCCGGGCTTTCTTCAATGCAGTAAAGGAGGGTGACACTGTGATCTTTGCCAGTGATGATGAGCAGGACCGCATCCTATGGGTGCAGGCCATGTATCGAGCTACTGGCCAATCACACAAACCCGTCCCGCCCACCCAGGTCCAGAAACTGAATTCTAAGGGCGGAGCTGCGGCACAGATGGATGCCCCCATCTCTCAGTTCTGTAAGTAAACATACCAGTAAAGCATTTAATTACATTGTCAGTCAGGACAAAAATTGACTGAAGCTGAGATGGCGAGTAAATTAAATACATAGCAAGGGTTGTTAATATCCATCTTTTATAAAATGGTGATGGCTCCGTTATTTAGGCTATAGCCCCCATGCCCCACAACCACTCACATACAGTGAAAGTGTTGTCGTCACAACTCGTCATTTCGGTCACAAAGTATAGTAGATAACGCAGACTAATAATGAACAAATGAATTCAGGTTGTTGTCAGGTTGAATTAGTAACTCATAATGTCATAGTAATGCTACCTTGCACTCTCAGCATACTGCACAAGTATCAAGAAAAGGTCAGATGGAGTGTGTAGAGTGGAAAAATGTGTTTATTTTAATGTCCATGTCTTTGTTACTGCCCTTAATTACGCACTCCTGATTAGCTTTAGCGTCCATATGTAAGAATTTTCAGCTAATTTAATAGCTTAAATAATTTAAAGTGGTCAGCCAATACCAGCTTCTATCTATAAAGTTATAGTTAACCCAAAAATGAACATTATGGCATCTTTTACTCACCCTCATGTTGTTTCAAAACCATATGACTTACTTTCTTCTGTAGAACACATACATTTTAGTCTATTTCTTACACAAAGCATTTATATATCTTCAGAAGAATTAATTAATGATTTTATGGAAGTTTGAACCCTGTTTATTGTTCATTTGCATGCAATACAGTTTTCATATTGTGTCATTTTGTGTTCTACAGACGAAAGTAAGTTCTGGGGGTTTGGAATGACATGAGAATCATTAAACAATGACAGAATTTTCATTTTTAGGTCCTTTTAAAACTGAAATATCACCTTTTATTGAATTAAAGGGTTAGTTCACCCCAAAATGAAAATTCTGTCATTAATTACTCACCCTCGTGTTGTTCCAAACCCATAAGACCTTCGTTCATCTTCGGAACACAATTTAAGATATTTTTGATGAAATATGAGGGCTCTCTGACCCTCCCATAGACAGCAAGGTAACTACCACGTTCAAGGTCCAGAAAAGTACCAAGATGATCGACAAAGTAGTCCGTGTGACATCAGTGGTACAACTGTAAAGTTACGAAGCTACGAGAATACTTTTTTGCGCAAAGAAAACAAAAATAACGACTTCATTCCACATTTTCATCTCTACTGCGTCACTTTGGACACGCGTTCATGACAGTATCATGACGCGAGTGTGTGGCGGCACTGACCCAGATCCGGCGTAATGACGTCATCACACTGGATCTGGGTCAGCGCCACCACATGCTCGCGTCATGGTACTGTCGTGAACGTGCGTCCACAAGTGACGCAGTAGAGACGAAAATGTGGAATGAAGTCGTTATTTTTGTTTTCTTTGCGCAAAAAAAGTATTCTCGTAGCTTCGTAACTTTACAGTTGTACCACTGATGTCACACGGACTACTTTGTCGATCATCTTGGTACTTTTCTGGACCTTGAACGTGGTAGTTACCTTGCTGTCTATGGGAGGGTCAGAGAGTCCTCGGATTTCATCAAAAATATCTCAAATTGTGTTTCGAAGATGAACGAAGGTCTTACGGGTTTCGAACAACACGAGGGAGTAATTCATGACAGAATTTTCATTTTTGGGTAAACTAACCCTTTAAGATTCTGCTACACATGTTCTCACCAACAATTTAAACACCTGTTAAAGTAAAAAAAAAAAAAAGTACTTCACACTAATATCAAATCACTTTGAAGCATCTAAATAATAATAGATCCTGCTATTCAGAACCTTGTCTTTTGGTGTGCATCTACTTCAGCATCTGTCCATAGCAATGTCTTATATCACAAAATGTCTCTTAAGGGAATTGATACACTGTTCAAATAAATTCAGTTAAGTATAGCTCACGTTTTAATCACATATACAAAATCTAAAGGTACTGTAGAGGTTCTGTGTTGTTTTCCATTGATTTATTTGTCCTGTTTGTGAATGTTTCTTGTGGTCAGATGATTCCCTCACAAGTTCAGATGCCATTCAATTTTCTCACTATAAGACAGACCCTCTCCCTTCTGAAACATTAATACACTGTGCAAATGTTTCACGCTCCACCTTAACACACCCCAGGTGGTCTTGAATGGCACAGAGTAGTGGAATATAAAACAATATATACACCCACGAGCAAACATCCCTTTGCTGCAGATGGTTTTTGCAGATTCTGGAATGCTATGAAGGTTCTGATAACAGCTTTTTATATATTAAATGGACATTATTTACTCTGATTACAGAATGCATGTATCACAATAACATACAATGAATAAGTTAATATTAAAATGACAGTTGAATCCCTGAGTATTTTTGTTTTGGTAACACTTTACAATAGGGTTCACTTTGGAAACAGCAATTATCTTGGTCATTAATCTAGGAATATGCTATTTTATAAATACAGAGTTGTTTATTGTAATTCATGTTCATTCATAATACATTACTAATATTAATTCTTACAACTGTTAAAATAGAAATAAACATTAACCTATAGATAAATAAACTGGAAATGTAATATTATTTCATGTTAGCTATTTTAAACATATAGAACTTTATTGTCAAGTGTTACCAATGTTTTTATAATTTTGAAAGCAGTGACATTTTGAGGTAGGCTGACAGCCTGAATGATTTTCATGGCTTAAAATGTTAACTTTCAATGGTAAATGGTTACTGGATTGATTCTCTATGAGCAGTTTATATTATTTATTTACTATAAACAGTACCTTCATAGAATCAGTTTAGTAGCTGATACTGGCATCAAATACACATTCGGCCAGCTTTCAAATATATGTCTGAAGGTAAGTGTATCTGCCAGCACAGTGTTAGTAAATGTTCCAGTGATTTAGATTGTATCAGTGTTTGGCAATCCAGTGTACCGATGAGAATCCTGTCAAAATCAGCTGCAGCAGAGCACAACGTAATACACCAAAGTAAGTCTTTCGTTCTTTCTTTCTTTCTTTCTTTCTTTCTTTCTTTCTTTCTTTCTTTCACTACTCGATCTGACCACCCACCAGTTCAAACTGCACTATCATGTTGATACAGGTCGTTGTATTTTACGTTGTGTTTTTTCTTCGTTCATGCTTTGCTTGTACCCTTCTTTAGTCCTGCAGCTGTAGTGGAGTCAGGGTTTTCGTGTCTGCTTTTTCCTTCAGCCTTGTTGCTAGTCTTTATGTTATTCTGGTTTGTCCCTTCTTACCCTGCTGTCTTCTAGCTGGACTCAAGGGTAAGTGCTAACCTGTTAGCTAGCACCAGTCAGATAATCCTAAAACCATTATCTGACCAATGCAACGTGCTCTCTTTATCCTTTTTCTCTCGTTCTTTTTCTCCTCCTTTCAAATCTCACTCCTCATGCCTTAGCCCTAAGTAGATAATTGTATTTTTCCGTTGAACTTTTTTGATGATGGTTAAAACTACAAACTTTCATTATTCCAGTTCAGGTTGCATGTAAATTAGTGCGTTTTTACTTATCATTTAGCTAAGTTAGTATGGTTTATGATTTATTTGCATAATTGCCTTCTCTACATAAACATCATTGGCATCACCAGACCCCTCAGAGTAAAGTAGAGGAGGGTTTGGATTGTCCTGTTGGTTATTACTGAAACAAACTATTTGGTAGCATTTAATTAAAAAAATAATCTGACAATGTGATTGCTAATCTTTTGAGTCACTTTTGAGAATTTTAGAGTTTATTTTGCCAACTAATTGTCACTTAATTGGCACTTTATGTTTTCAGGATGAGTAACTAAACCAAATGTAGCATTTTGACAATTAGTTCTGTCTACAGTAACTGCAACGGTGAAGCATTGCTCATTTTTGACGACTTGGACTTTACTCTTGAGGGTTCTCTTGCCTTTCAATTAAATTCTTTATTTTTGAACTTGAGCTTCACAAGAGCTGGCAAATATGTAAGTGGAGTATTCTGAATGCCAATGTGAAGGAGCAGGCACTGCCATCCCTCCTCACCAAGAAATACTCCTAATTATCTTTCGTCCGGTGGAAATGGGCCTCTTTGAAATAGTCCCTAAACCCAATGTAGAACTTAGGAAAAGATATAGTTCATTATTTGCACCTGTGTGTTTGCCCTTATACTGCTTGAGTAGGTGAGCATTTTGATGTCATGTTATCCATTCAGATGCTGATGGAAAGACAAGTTCATTTTCTTCCTTTTTTGATTATTCTCCATTCTTTACAGAGAATGAATTAATTACTTTTGTAGCCTCTGTTGGCTTCTTGCTAAAGCCGTGTATCTGCACTAGAACAGTAATGCTAGCCTGTTGGCACGCCACTGAAGTGGCTTGCTTGTCAGTGTGCTCAGCAACCCTTGTGAACACAATGAAAATTTCTCCAGTATTGTCAACTTGCAAAGAGAAAAGAGAAAAATACGGAATGCTAATGGATAGGCAAGCGGAAAATGTTACTGCAATTTTTTTTCTTCCTCTTTCTTTTCCTTGCATGACATAGGAAAGCAGAGTGGAGTGTCTCACTGCGTTTCTGCATGTAAAAGACATCCATTTTCAATGAAATATCATATATAACCATTAAAAAAATCTTATAAAATAATATTAATAATGGTTTCTATTAGCATCCCCTTATATCCTAGCCTTATTTGAATGCAGCACAACGGTTTGTGCATAAGCCGATTCAAAACTGTATGGAATGTAAATGTACATTATTTTAATTAATGTATAATTATGAAATGTAAAAATGCAAATGAGTAAGGCGAATAAATACTTTAATCCCGTAGGTTTACCCTGTAATTATTACGTCTTATTTCTTCCTTACAATTCCATGGTTCATAGAACTCACATAGTCTGTTGTATATTTTTACACTTCTTTTATCATCCTGAGTTGCTTAGTTAAAGGGCTTCTTTGCCATTCGTTTTGATGTTTATCTTTTCTCAACCCATTCAGTTTGTCAGTTGTCTATCCTCTATCTTGATCATTTCCTCACTGAGTTTTTCATTCCTACAATCCCGTGTCTTTTCCTGTGCCTCTATATTCTTTTCTGTCTTCTCTTTTTATTTTAGTCTACGTCTTTATAATTGTAGCAATGCTTTACTCAGCCAAAGGATAACATAACTTGATCCAAGTTCCTCTAATTAAGCAGATCCAGATCGTATTTATTTGTTTTCCACATAAGCACTGGATTAAGCACTTTATTTTTAGACATATGTCTTCACAAGAAAGGTGTGAGATCATTGTTGTTATGTAGACACACGCCCTAATCATTGGTGTAACAGGATGCACATTCTTTCTTCACATTTTCTCTCATTAGAGCACGCTCATCACCGCACAGATTTAGATTCTATCATTCTGTTGCTAATAATGTAATTCTTCAGGGGGCCAGTTTTTTAGGAATAACTTTTCTTTTACTACTTTCTCCAACAAAGATATGTGCATAGGACTTAGGAAATTGAATAGACTATTTAGCTGATTTTGATTACATTTAGCCTAGAACACTGAGCATACTGAAGAGCCCATGAAATAAAATTTAAAAAATAGTTTTGTGACTTTTATGTCATTTAGCGTCTACAATATCATTCAAAAGTTTGGAGTCAGTTGGAATTAGTTTTTTTTTGTCTTAATACTTTCATTCAGGAGTGTCATTAAATTGATCAAAATTGACATTAAAGACATTTTTAATGTTACAAAAGATTTCTGTTTCAAATAAATGCTGTTCTTTTGAATTTTCTATTCATCAAAAAAACCCTAAAAAAATATATCACGGTTTCGACAACAAAAATTAACCGTTTTCAACTGAGATAAAAATAAGAAATGTTTCTTGAGCTTCAAATTAGAATATTAGAATATTTTAAGACAGAAATATTTTACATTTAAAATATATTAAACTTGAAAATGGTTATTTTAAATTGTTGTAATATTTTCCAATATTACTGTTTTTACTGTATTTTTGATAACATAAATGCAGCTTAAGAGACAAAACATTTATTTAGCCCAAACTTTTGAATGGTAGTTTATATGCTAGTAAATGTTTTCAAAAAAAAGAAAAGGACCAAAAATATGCTGCATTTCACATATTTCTGTCTAATCAAATGTCATTTCATGAGGTCTTTCAGTATCTTCTTAAAGATAACTTTTGAGTACATTCAATCAAAGATGGCTAACATATCGTCCCGATTTCTTTTTTGGCATTTGTATTTTTACGAGCACACAATCCATCTTCTCTCTTGAAACGAGTGACATTAACCAATTGCGAATGGCAGAATCTATTGTATTCAAGTGAAAGAAACTACATTAAAATTCATCATTTGGATTTGCGCCACTTGCTCAAAGCCATCGGTGGCTTTTACGTTGAAAAGCTTTTGATTGAGAGAACAGGAAGAGACCACGCCCAGATCAGCTCATGCATGCACGTCCAGACTGAATGTGAGCTGAGGGTTATCACTCAGTTCCACATTTGCTAGGTCCGATTGAACTCTGCTTGACTTTTGCTGCAAGTTGACAATGTGAAAGCTCAATGTCCTTGATTTGCCATAGAATACTCATTATAGGTGTTTCGTTTTTTGTGGTGGGAGGAGAACAAATCATTCTCCTTGCTGTTTGCTAATTTCCTCTTCCTTGAACCCACCCCCTGTCCCTTCCTCCCCCATGAATGGCTGGAATAGATGCTGACAGGGCACAGAAGCACGGCATGGATGAGTTTATCTCAGCTAACCCATGTAGCTTTGATCATGCCTTATTGTTCAAGATGGTGCAGAGGCTCACGTTGGACCACAGGCTAAATGACAACTTTGCATGTCTGGTAAGTGTTTTTTTTTTAGCTGAATTCAATGCAAAACAACTGTATACATAATTTCCAAACTGTCTACCCATTTGCTGGAAATGTAGGGATGGTTTAGCCCGGGTCAGGTGTTTGTTCTGGATGAATATTGTGCTCGGAATGGGGTGAGAGGATGCCACAGACATCTGTGTTATCTTGGCGACCTGCTGGAGAGGGCAGATGCCGGGCTCATGATTGACCCGACGCTGCTGCACTACAGCTTCGCGTTTTGTGCCTCCCATGTTCACGGCAACAGGTACAGCCCCGCATTTGGATACACCACATTACTGGGATGTTAGATATTGGGAGAGATACGGATCATGGAAGCAGGAACGAGGGTGGACAACAAGGGCTCTTTGCAAGTCATCAGCATATTTTTGCACTTTTGCTTTAGCGTTTATTATATTTTTCCCTGTGAATGTTCTTTATAATTTTGCCAAATTTTGTTTGATTTGTTGTGTCTTTTGTTCTCAATCATTTTTCATTTCTTTTCCACTTTCCAAACCTTTAGCAGTATTCTTTCAGCCACTACACTTTCCATTCTCCTTTTTTGTTATTTTACTTTCCAAATCTCATTGTGTTGCTCATTCATTACATGTTCCTGATAGTCAGAGGGGGTCTGAGTTACAGGGGGCTGGCTCAAAGTCAGGAGGGAAAAAGGAGTCTAAAAAAAAGAGGAAATGTAAAACACAGCTGGCCCCTGAAAGCACAAGGTAAGAGGGCTTATCAAGGATATATTCATATCAACAGCATCTTATTCTACACTGTACAGTACACAGTTCACACAGAGTGCAATGGGTTAAACAGCTCAGCTTGTCTACTGTAGTAGTCTTTCACCCAAAATATAAAAAAATGTACTCATTCTTGTTCCAAAGTCAAATGACAAGGCTTTTTTTTATTTCCTACACCCCATGATGCTTTGCACAGATTATGGGAGTAACTTCTGTTAAACTAAACAATCAGTCAAAGGTTTGCTCTATGAACACAATAATAAGCATTTTCAAAAACTGGGTACAATGAGGTGACATTATTCTACTCACCCTTCAATGAATGAACATTAAAAAGTGTAAAAGCATTAACAAATTACTTTCAACAGACCATGACCCCAAAAGCTTGATTATTTCCCTTGATTATTCCCACAGCAATATAAAGTAATATACTGCATGTCTGTTATGTAACATACATTGCCTTAATTAAAAATGTTCATTAACTGGAACATTGAGTGATAATATTTCAAAGTGATTTCCGTCATTTTGACAGATAACAAATATTGTATTTACCTGCTTTAGAAACATTCCAGTAAACACTGCTTATATAAAAAGCATATATAGGCATATATAAAAGGGGGGATAATTAATTACATCTTAAAGCATCTTTGTGAAAACCTGGAAAGAGACATGAGGATTTTGGAAGAAAAACGAGATTCTTGGTGAATTCCAGTGAATTATTCATAGGATATATCATGAATTCAATTGGGAGAGCAGACCACAAATATGCAGTATATGTAATCTTTTTTTTCATATTGTTGCATTCGTGAAGAAAAATTTACAGCCTTTTCAGTCAAACTGACATATAAAGACATTATTTGTAGCACAACCTTATGATTTGAAATGATTTGTTTCAGTCTTTTTGAGTGGAACTTCCCCAAACCAGAAGTGCCTCCCTTAATTAAAAATGCTCATTAAGAAAAAGGTGTATAAATGCCAAAATGAACTATTCCTTTAAATTCAGCATAATATTGCATAATGTGATATATTTACTTTGACAATAAGACCAATATCCTGTAAGAAAATAAGTAGAATCAAGTTTAAATTCATTGAATTTAAGCCTGTATGTACTTGTACAGCATGTTTAGTTTAGGTTTCTCTTCCCACTGACTTGTTGAAAGTATATTTATTATTGTGCTGCAGCTGAGTGTATTAAATATATTTTAATAGTTTTCCCAAGTAGAGTATTGTAACATCAATAGCTGTAAATAAAGAAAAAGGGTTGCAAACAATGTCCCCCAAGAGTATCACAACAGGGTCCCATCTGCTGGGTACAAATACATTTATAGCCAGTGTATTAGATTTAAAGGGGTCATATGATGCTTTTTTAAAGATCATTATTTGGTGTATTTACTTTTACTTTTACTTTTAGTCATTTAGCAGACGCTTTTATCCAAAGGCGGCGGCAACAACAATACTACAGCGAGAATAAAAGTTACGCCTTCTTTCTTTGCGTGAACATTTGGGCGGCGTTATGCAAATCTTCCCAAATAGTGACGTAGACATGTGGGCGTGTTAGAACGAGCCGTTTTAGGGGGCAGAGTCTTAACTTTGATAAAGAATATCTCTTTGGTTTTGAGACTTTAGGATCTTAGGATCTTATCTATGCACAATCAGCTTGTAACACTCCAAAGAGAAAGGAAAACTTGAAATCGCATCATATGACCCCTTTAAGAAAGTCAGACATTGCTTCTGGTTAGATGTTCTTTCTGGACTCCGTGTGCCAGGCCTGTATTTTATTGTTACAAGTGTGATATACTGCATACCGAAATGTTAATGTGGTTTGATTTGCTTTCACTTAAAATATACAGGGCTTTAAAAAGCAATTATGTAGTATCATAATTAGTTGTTGTAATAATAAATAACACCAGTTCAAGACTTTCTTTGGATTTGTATCACTTTTGTCTTGGCTCAAAATTGCCATGTTTTGCTTGTAAAATAGGCCTGATGGTCTTGGAACAGTAACGGTGGAGGAAAAAGAACGCTTTGAGGAAATCAAAGAGCGATTACGTGTCCTTCTGGAGAATCAGATCACAAACTTTAGGTGAGTATGTAGACGTAAGGCCTTTATTGAACGTTTCACAAGCTGTATTATAGCAGGAAGTACATCAGAGGCTCTCCTGCTTTCGTTTCAGGTCACAGATTTTATATTGGATATCGAGTGGCAATCCAACACCTCATTAAAATTTTTAGTCTACAAAAGTATCACCATGGACTGCATAGGCCCAACAATGTGCGAATTATTAGGCCAAGTAGGGAAATTGACAGTTTTGTAATTGCATAAACAACAGCAGAGGTGATTTATCAGCTTAATGCATGGAACAAATGCTGAGCCAAATATTGTATTAGGCTGAATACGAGGAGTGCACAGCCATTATGTGCATAAACATATCAATGTGATTTCACCAACAGAGCTCAAATTACAGCCTATGCAAATCAAACTAGAATAAAGTATATCTTAAACTAGACACGTGGATGTGGTTTCATTTTGCTCCATGCGTCTTTTATCTTGTACGGTTTTGTTTTTGGTTTTCATTTGGAGACAAATACTGGAGATTTTGAATTTACTGACGTCAGCGATAAAAGATATGGGAAGCTGTCCATAACCCATTTTTGGGTCTCGACCCACCAGTTGAGAACCACTGATGCACACCTTTCTGTTGTTTTCTCAACATTGCATGCAAAAATATAATTGTATAGGATTTTTTGCAACCACGATGTAATTTTTGTTGTTGTAGGTATTGCTTTCCGTTCGGTCGCCCTGAGGGAGCATTGAAAGCCACTCTGTCTTTGCTGGAGAGGGTAATGACAACATTGCTTATATTGATTCAGAGTAGCAGCAATAGAAGGAAAAGAGAAGCAATTGATGGTATTTTATTCAGCACCGCCTGTCGCTGTTTACTTGTTCTGCCATGCATCATTATTTCACAAAAAAAATAAAAATTAATAAATAATATAAAAGTTTTAAAAAAGTATGACTCATTCATACTAGGACAACAAAATTTGTCACTAGATAACAAATTTGGATTTGTGCTTTTTCACAGGTGCTTATGAAGGACATTGTGACCCCAGTCCCACAGGAGGAGGTCAAGGCTGTCATTCGTAAATGCTTAGAGCAAGCAGCTCAAATTAACTACCAGCACATCACTGACTACGCCAGAGAGGAAGGTGACTAGCATTGCCCTCTTCTTTCACAGCATTATGATTTTAAAGCACTTAACCATGCTATGATTTGAACCAGAAGGGAACTTTTGTACTTTTTTTTTACTCTGCTTCCATTCATTTATATCAATTTAATGCATAAACGGTGGTTTATATTTGAATAATGTGCTTTGAGTAAATAATCTAATCTACTGCTTTCAGTTTGTGAAAGGAAAAGAAATTTAGGTTTGGGTAATTAATCTTTTGTTTAAATTGTTTATGCATTTTGGTGGTTTGCAGGTAAATATATACATGGACATTTTTGTTTATTTATTTATTTATTTTTTAGTACACTAGACTACATTCTTGAATCGCACAGCATCTGTCTTGATTGTAATGATATACTTGTTTATTTTAAGGCAATTACTGCTTTTGTTTCTCTTCCTTTTCAAGAAAAGTTTAAATGTCTTCTTGTCCATTCACCTTTTGTGGACTTGCAAAAATGCATTCAAATCCACACAAAGAAGAGCTTCTTACCATTTCCTATCTGCTGCGATAACATAGAAAATTGGAAATTTTTCAAATGGTCTCCACACATTCTCTTTTCTATTATTATGGCTCAGATCAGGATGATAAATTACATCAGGGTAGAGAAATAGTTACGGAGGAGGAAAAGGAACAAGGAAAATGAGTCCGTGAACAGAGAGGGATGTAGGAATGGGGACGGATCTTGCGGTGAAATAAATTAAGTATGTGGGAAGGAGCGGTTAAAGGCAGGAAGAGCCCATTAGAGGAAAACAGGTTGGGGGAAAGAGCAATGAGATGAAGAGGGAAGCATCCATGAAACAATGCCAGGTTGGGCAACAAGCGTGAAAGAGGATTACAAAGAAGCAAAAGATGGGCAATATGGAGAGGTGTCTGTTTGAAGAGGACTAAAAGGCATTGTGTGCTGGTTTTGAGGAGGATGTTTTTTGTTTAGATGTTTGAAGATCGTTTTTAAATCGTTTCTCTGAATGAATACCCTCTACTTCATCAAATCATTGTTTCTGTTGCTTATTTCGAACAGGGTGACAAACCAATGACACAAGAGCCACAAATGGCTGACAATCTTTTAGAACACAGTATCAGTGCCTCTCTAATGGGCCTTGGCTGATTTTGACACAATATCCTTAATAGAACAGCTAACCCAAATATGATTATGTCATCATGTCATTCATGTAATTTGAAATGTATATAGTTTTCTTTTCTTCACTGAAACACAAAGCAGATATTTCGCTGACTAGCTGCTTTTCCATACAACAAAATTGGCTGGCTGCTCTGAAAAGGTTTGACAAAAACACAATAGAAGTAGCATAAAATCAGTCAATTTGATGTAAATCCATGGAAGAAAGAAAATTATGCGTTTCAAATGACAGAATTTTCAGTTTTGGGTGAACAATGCACCATCGTTCAAAAGTTTGGGGTTGGTATGATTTAAAAAAAAAAAAAAAAAAAAGTCTCTTACCAAGGCTGCATTTATTTGATTAAAATACTGAAAACAGTAATATTGTAAAATATTATTTATTTCTGTTTAAAATAACTCTATTTTAATATAAGTTCAAATATAATTTATTCCTGTGTTGGCAAAGTTTAATTTTCAGCAGCCATTACTCCAGTCTTCAGTGTCACATGATCCTTCAGAAATCATTTTAATATGTTGATTTGGTGCTCAATTTATTTGAAATAAAACTGATACTTTTAATGCATCCTTGCTAAATTCAAGCATTAATTTCTTTAAAAAAAAAACACTTACTGGCCCCAAACGTTTGAACCGTAGTGCACCTTTAAAAGTTTTCCACTTTCACTTTGTTCCTCATTTTTACGGTCACGAGATTTTAAGGGTGATTGTGGTTTAAGGGTTTTAACCATCAAATCACGTTGTATTATCCTACCTTTTCCAAAAACTGATTTCTTGATGAGAACTTCCCTTAAAGGGGTGGTTGACTGTTTTTTTCTAGGCTTGATTGTGTTTATGGGGTGCAGTCTAACATGTTAATGCTTCGTTTTTTTTAAAAAAACATACTATTTTTCACATAATTTACCTTTATTCTACACCCCTATGTCCCTTCTCCTATAAACGCGCTGATCATTTCCTGCTTTTATGAAACCCCTCCCTCAGAAATACGCGATGGGCTCTGATTGGTTAGCTAGCCCAGTGTGTTGTGATTGGCTAAACCGCCTCTAGTGTGTAAACGTCCCTCACCTCAGCGCCATGTGCTCCGGTTGTATTGTACACAATGGCGTCGTCTATATTGCTTATCAGTTTGACCCCGATTGAGACTCAGAGGATATTAGTGAAGAGGATCGTGCAGAACCTGTGCAAGCACGGCTCTTAATGGTATGGTTTTTGTTTGTTGTTGTCTCATATTTTTTTGATACGCTGTTATTTGTAAATGCTACTTCTGCTGTTAGCTTTTAATGCATGGCCTCGCCCCCTTTGTTGCATGTTCCCGGGGGTGGGGTTTGTCTGGGTTTGTGATGTCAGTACCTCACCCCCTTTCCTCTGACCCCAAACTCTTGCATGCTGGAATCCTCCTTTTCTTTAGGAAAAAAGAGGGAAATGTATGATCATCCTGTCTACTCCTTGGCTACACATGTGATGGATTTAACCATCCGTGAGTAAAAACTCCTCACCCTCTCCTCACTCCTCACTCATTCTTTACCTCTGTTTCATCAACTCAATCCTCCATGTCACATCCTTCTTGGAACTTTTCTGTTTTGCCATTTTCATACAGATGACAGACACTGAGTAGATAACGATACGTAACGTTTCGATTCCAATTCCTTTTGGCAGAGATGTTCCATTTGTTTGTAATACAACATGACTGATGCATCCGTTCAGCTTCCTCTTGTTCGTTTTTGGTTGAAGCTCATGTTTGTGACTTGAATGCATTTTTACTTTGCTCGCTATTGTACTTTGTCTGAGTGTATATCGTTACTGTGGTGTGGTAGGTGGTTTCACTGGGGGGTTCCAGACACATCAACAGGTGACTGAGCTACCGGGAGAGCAGGAGTTAGCACACGTGTACGAGCTATGACTTATGTGTTCCAACATCACAAGTTTGTCTTGTTCGTGATTACTACAAACTGTTTGATTTGTCTCTTTGTTCAGTATGTCGTTCAGTTGCTACTTTGTTATGTGTGTTTGTTCTTGTCGTTCCAGGTAAATATCTACATGTGTGTTTGTTTGCCATTGTTTTTCTATTATTCTATATCAAATACACAATAATTCTCTGGAGAGCGACCAAGAGTGAAATTACCAGGGATGCTGCACCAACTTTGGGCTAAAACATGCCACCTTGAGGAATAATTATTTTTCCTCCCCCAATTCTCCCTTTTCTTTCTCCCTTATTTCTCCCTCTCCTTATGTTGCTCTGATTCTCTTTTTCTTTCTCTCTCTCTCTCAAGTTGAGAAAACTCTAAAGGATCAGAAGGATCCAGGTGAAGCTATGTTTAACGTCATCCTCTGTCCCCTTCAACACACCCTGGCACATGAACATGACACAATTACAAGGAAAATGTCTTTAGTCTGAAAGTCCTGTACACACCACGACACAAGGATCTCCCTTGTGCGATACTTTTTTTGTGTGAAGATAGTATTCTTCTATAAAAATATACACAAAATTTGGGTAAAAACTTATTTTGTGTTATATTATGACTTTAGAAATAGAAACGGAACATCTTAGCACTGAACAGTCTGCCTAATGGTGCTACATTATGCAGACTTACAAGAAGTAATACTGTCTTTCACAAATATTTCAGTGGCAGTCTTTTCAATGTGTTAAAATGTGAGGGTAGAATTATTGCAAATGTTTCTCGCTGAAGTACTGGGAATAAGATTGTAACTGAAGAATATCTGAATCCTGACATCCATAGATTTTCTAATCAAGTAGTTCTCAACTGGTTTTGCTGCAAACCTGCAAACTGTTTTTGTGTCACAACCCACCAGTTGAGAACCACTTCTCTAAATCTTCATTATTTTAACAGATGTTTTGCTTCTTTAATTCCCAGTGCTGGTCTTAGAAACTTGACATGACCAGAACATTTTAGACACATTGAAAATGGATAAAGTATGAAATTTGGATAATGATAATCTTAGATTGTCATTAAATCCATTGTCATTACTTTATCATGTTGTGTTGATGACATCATGGCCTTAGGAAGAGTAAGAATGAGTTTCTATCAGATATTAATGGTTCACAGTGTAGTAAATTTCAGTACGGTGCCCCACAACCCCATTAATAACCCATGAATTTAACAGACCGATAAACCAATGGCATAAAAGTGAACATTACACACTCTAGACACCTAGATTTAAGAGTCAGACTAAATGATAAATAAGTAATGTCCTTCATGACTGAAGTAGCATTTCAGTCAATAAATTAAAGATTTTCTTTTCTCCTTTAGTGGAGACCTCAGCATTGCTGAGTTGGTCGGTATTTTATTTTATTTCTTTGGCTGTTTTTTTGTTTTCTGTCTTACTCATTTCATCTTGTTCAGACAAAAGTTGATTACGTGTTAAACCAGAAACACTATTGTGTGTCCGGATGTCCTCATTTCATCAAAGTGTTGCATATGTCTGACAATCTGGTCTGCTTTTTCTCTCATGTGTTGGCCTTAAATTCTAGACAGCATTGAGAAGTTCTGCAAATTATTAGTAAAAAATGTAGTATTAGTATAAAGGTTTTTACAGTGGGGTCCAAACGTCTGTGTCCACATTAAACATCTAAAGAAAGTTTAGGCTTTAGGAAAAGTTATGATGTAAATATGTCATTGTAAAGATTCTGCATTTCTTCTTCTTAGCGTACATTGATGCACAAGGTACTCTTTGAAACATTCGCAAATCATGCTGGAGAACATGATTATGAGGTTTTTTACAAGTAGTGGAGTTCATGCAGCTCAAGCTGCTGGGAAAAAAGAGAAACCAAAATACTATGAAAATTTTTTAATTTTTTATTTACCTCAACTATTATGCTGATAGTTTGTAATCACAAAATATATACTGTATCAATTATGAAAAAAGCTAAACTACTTGTGGTCTCAGACTTTTGAACCCCAATTTAGTTGCAAGCTTGCCAAACAAATTTTTTTTTGCCTCAGAGATTACCAAAAAAAAAGTCCATTATTTTCTCTGACATCAGTTAGGCATCTTTTCTTGAAGTGTTATGAGTGTCATCAACTGTGTTGTCATTTCTGCATGCTCAGTTAGGTATTTATGACCTTAGCTTCTTCAGACTGCATTGTAGTGCTCATGACATCAGAGATTCATAGAATAAATATATTAATCAACCACTGTACTATTAACCGTCCCTCTTCTTCCCACCATTCTGCTCCAGAGAATGTAGCTAACCTAGCAACACCTGCTAAAAAACTGGAGCATGTCATCCGCCTGGCAGAGTTAGTCATTGAGGTTCTACATCAGAACCAGGACCATCACGCTGAGGTGAGTCTGGACTGTTTCTCTCTCTTTCCCCCACATTCACTCTCTTTTTTTCTTTAGTACAAAATAGGGCTGATTTAAATGGCCAGTGGCTCCTCTCTAATAATAAAAAAGGCGGCTGTGCAGTTTGCACAATGCAATTTGTATTAGTGGAAATTAGTGAAACAGCAAGAGTTCACTCTCCCGTGAGATCCAGGTCTCTAAACCACTTTCCCTGGATCTATACT